TATTATTATTATTATTATTATTATTATTATTATTATTATTATTATTATTATTATTATTATTATTATTATTATTATTATTATTATTATTATTATTCATTACTACTACTACTACTACTATTATTATTATTATTATACAATATGACCATCTAAAAGTTTTATTATAATTAAAAGAAGAGAAATTCTTGCATAAATGAGTTGTATTTATCTTCCTTCAGCTCCGTGTGACATTTTTAGAATACTCTTTTCTCTAGGGAAGTTCCAATCAGTATTAATGAGATTTCAAGTCACAATAAAACTAACCTTTAATACATCCTAGGTTATTGGGCCACTTGACTTAGGCCAAGAGCTCCTTAATCTTGTACATTAACTATATGTGAGCTTGCTCTCATTATATGATGTGGATGCAAATACTTCACAGAATGATCTTAGCTGCATAATTCTTCCTTGGAAAAACAGAAAGGGGGGGAATATCATATAATAAAAGAAATGAGAGATGAACAAAGATCATATTGTTATGTGAATGTAGCAAAACTAAATGGTATGTGAACACTGAAAACAAATGATAATGCCAGCATCATTTTCATTCCCATAGCAGGTGTATTTATTTTTGCATATATCAATTTATATGACAGCTTATATTACCAATGTGATTCTGGATGGCAAAAAAAATAATTGAAATGCATGTATATAATAAACAAACAAACAAACAAACAAATAAAACCCTTCCATCACATTAATACAAAGGAGCTCCCAAGCATACTATTCACCAATAGTGTGGGCTCAATTACTCAAATCCCCATGCCTCTGTAAACAGACCCAGAAAAAGGATGGGAAGAAATAATGTTAAAAGCCAAGAGGAGTACAAATTTGTCAGAAACATCACAGTGACTTTTGAGGGCAGAAGGGTAAATAAGGATATTTCTCTCAAACATAGAATAGAAAGTTAGAACATAATGAGCAGAAACAAATGTTTACATATCATGGAGAAACTCTCTACACTTACACTTCAGAAACAGAGAAAGACTTTGCTTTCTGTGTGGTCATTGCTTGCTTTTTCTCTAATATTTACCCCTTTCCCAGAACATCACAAATTTCAAGGTCAGCCGTGAGTCAAGATCTAAATATAAAAATTCATAGAAAACAAGCAGTGAAAAATGGCTCTTGATTTTCCCAGTTCTGGAACATGCAAGGCTAAATATATCCCCTTAACGAGATACTTAGAATATAATATAACACAAAGTGCAGAGCACACTTTTTGTTGGCATATAGGCCAATCTTCCTACATCTGGAAACTTGAGACTTCTACTCCTACTCCTGTAATTGCTATTGTAACATTTCTGGAGGATACTGAATTGGACGAGTCTGTTTATTAATATTTCTACCATAGCAAAATCACACCATTTCTTCAGAGACCACTTTTTTTAACAGTAGTCCACAACTTAGAACCATTCATTTAGTGACCATTTGAAATTACAACGGCATTGAAAAGAAATGATTTACAACTGGTCCTCATAGTTACAACTGTAGCAGCATCCCCTTGATCACATGATCAAAATTTGGGTGCTTGGCAACTGGCACGTATTTATAATGTTTCCAGTGTCCCAGGGTTATGTAATTGCCTTTGCAACCTTCCCAGCTGGCTTCTGTCAAAGCAAAGTCAATGGGAGAAGCTGGATTCACTTAATGACTGCATAATTCACTTAACAACTTCAGTAATTCTCTTAACAATGGCAAAAAAGATCATTACATTGGGTGTGACTCACTTAACAACCGCCTTGCTTAGTAACAGAAATTCTGGTCCCAACTATGGTTATTAAACAACTACATGTATATATCTTGAGGAGAAAATTCGTACAATGTCAAAATTATCAAAAGGAATCCTCAAAAGGCAAACATTTGAAGACTGTTCCTAGGTAACAATAGCTCTTAGACTTATATACCACTTCATAGTGCTTTACAGCCCTCTCTAAGAGGTTTATAGTGTCAGCATATTGCCCCCAACAATCTGGGTCCTCATTTTACCAACCTCGGAAGGATGGAAGGCCGAGTCAACTTTGAGCTGCTCAAAATCAAACTCCTGGAGTAAGCAGTGAGTTAGCCTGCAATACTGCATTCTAACCACTGCACCACCACAGCTCTTATGGTAGTAATTAGAATTCAGATTTGATATTGTATTGATATTATTAATATCAAGTTGAGTAATTTATTATTGGTTGTTGAACTATAGCTGCTGTCCATATCTTTGACCAAATCATCTTAATCCCAGAAAATTTACACAATAAAGAATTCCAGTATGATATTTTTCATATGTAAGTTTAATAAACACAATGGCAATGTCTAGTTGCAAACATCCCCATTATCTGGATCAATTTGGGGAATGAAAAGCAATGAAGTACAGAGCAAAGTACACTTCATTGCTCCAAATGATACATCACAGAGAGCATCATCTCTAGAGAAGGCATAATGAATCCACTTTAGAAAATAAGATGCATGGGAAAAACCAGGAACGTAATTTAGAAGAAAACAATACAAGCAAAATTAAATAGTCAAAGGTTGGGAAACAACAAACCAAGCATGAGAAATCTCTGTCCTGTGAGGGTTTACATCCAGACCATAAATACTACATGCTCTTCCCATGCCATTCTGGAGCACAAGATCAGAGGGAAAAAAGTTTACACATGAAAAATATCTATATATGTATATGTATTTAAGACTTAGGCTGAACTGTGCTATATGTAATATTAAACTTTAGAAATGTACTAGGGTTTATTTATTTACTTTTGATGTCCCAAAATGGATGATGAAATTATGTGGCCTCTTTTTTCCTGGCATCAATCTCTCCATTAAAAGTCTGATATGGCATGTCATTTTCTATAAAGACTTCTAAAATCTATTTACAGGAAAAAAAATCGCTAAAACTACTCTGATATAGTAGTTTGGAATTCTGAAATATAATGATGCAGTCCACATACTCACAGCTAGCTGACCTTCAAGTTGACAGAATTATGCCAGTCAATTTTCATTTGAATTTCAAGCAAACACATGATGATATAAATGCCCAAAGTCCCGAACATCAGCACAAAGCATTTCCCAAGGTTTATACTATGTTGTGAATCTCCCTTGACAACAGCCAGATTTTTCAGTCAGATCAGATCTCAGATTTCTGATGCTCAACTGATTATCATTCTCTAGAAAGTTGCTCAATCTCCCAGGTGCTCTGATTCTGGCAGCCATCATCAGCATCTTTCTCCTGCCATCCTGTTTCAACCAGTATCAGACTAGTCTTGACTGAAATCCTTAATGAGGTTTTGATCCCATCAACAAGTCACAATAATTCATCCCCAGTGCCTCCCCTGGGATAAGGAAAAAAGCTGATGCAAGAATTTCAAGTGATGTGTGCTCCAGAGTGTGATGTGAGAAGGGTGCCATTTGCTTCACTCACTCTCTGGTCTATCAGCACTGTCATTAGACCTACTAGTTTGCTGAGAAAAATAATTCTTTCCTCCCGTGAGTACAAACTGCTTTAGACTGAATCCTGGCATAAAGTTTGGTCCCAAGAGGGCACTAAACAAGCCATTCATTTGCTTTGCTCCCACTGCTTCAGCTCCCAGCCATTTCAAACAGCAGTTTCTGGTTTTAACTGAAGAAAATCCAATATAAAACCCTAGATTAACATAACTCTATAGTGGTGACACAAACTGGCAGCAACTTGGAAATACAAAACAAAGTCTGCCCAAAGACTTTCAGTCATCCTGTACTACAATTCTCCATGCTTATATTTCTTGGCTAAAATACTCTGCCAGTGAAAAGAAAATAACCCACACAGAGATCTATAATCTACACCCTACAAGAAAAGTGATCCTGTAAATCTACCGTTAGTGAGTAATCCTGTTTCTACCTGTACTTTTAATCACTTCCACAGTCAATATTTCTAAAAAAATAATAATTGCACAGCAGCTATTTGTCACTTTTCTAGGAAGGATGTCTCTCCAGTAGGAAGGCAAATATCTATAAAAGGTGAGGTACCTACATATCTTGGCCATGGTTATAGAATGTGGACTAATTATGTCCAAGGATTTGGAAGTGCTCATGCCTCAGTGAGTCTCCTTTTAATACAACAACTAAATATTGTACTGTATAAATAATAAAATACTTAATTTATGGAACTTTTACATTTAATTATATTCTACTCTGCTCCATTTTGTAATATGAAGACATATAGAATTGTGAGACTGCATTTATCTATCAAACACTATCTTAGACATTGTGTTTAACAAGGCAGACTTCATGAAGAACCATTCCAGCATTTTTATGGAATACTAAAACAAAGGCTACTATCACCTGAATTGGTATATTTTGTGTTGAATAATTTCCTATCTTCAAGTTCCTTCCATAAATTAAACTTTATGGGAGGCAAATTTGTTTCCAATTATGTCATTGTCAACATCCTTCTTACTCACATTTTTTAAGTGGCCACAGAAGGTTGAAAATGTAAAATAGTGCTCTGTTTAGGACAATTTTGCACTACCTTACTCAAAAGAAAGACATTACAAATTTACAATGTCTTTATTAAACAAGTCCATAAGCTGTAAAGATAATATGTAGAACACAATCATAGTGGATTAATATGTTATCCTACCTTGTCCTTTAATCCCAAAAGGTGGAAGAAAATCCCGAATCCTTGCCCATTTCCTGAAGGAATCATCCAAAAACATTGGTGCTGGTTTGGAGAATCTATAAATATAATGAAACAGAATGGGTTCACACATTATATTATAGCACAAGTTATTTTAACTGCAATTTGTTGAGTAAGCTATAGTGATCTGGTTCACAGATAAGGTTCATAATTGTTCTAAGGCTAAGCTAAGGTAAAAGTCTATTATGGCTTATCATATTTGAAGTTAGCCAGAAATAAAAAAAATGTCTAAGAAAGTGCACTGCTTAGAATACAAAGCATTCTTATGTATTAAGTGTACTTAAAAGTTTGAATACAAACAAAAGAGTGGAGCACATAACAGGCTACCCAGCTGTATCAGGACACATTGCAAGGTAACACCCATCCTCCATCATGCTTCCAAATCTATGTGTATGAGAAGTCCCTGCTTCAACTTTTACCTCTACTATGAATTCACTGGGTAGCCATAAACAAACAACTACCACTCAACCTCCCATCTGTAGGAATGCTATTTCAAGATTCTAGTTAGGTTTATAACAAGATAATGAATCACATACTATACACATGGAAAATATTAGTATTTTAAAATTTCTGACAACAGTAGCCATTTCTGGTGTTTACTGAATTTAGAAGAAAAAAATCAACAGTTTAGAAGGAAAAAAAATCAATAGTTTGTACTAGAGCAGCACATCACCACAAAAGGACTAAAAGAAAACCATATTTTTTATAATGTGCTTGGAAAATATTTTCTTTAGGATATAATTGTACAGGCTAAAATTTGTTATCTCTTAGTAGCAGCAGTGGTGTGCTCTTCATTCTTTCTTACACCCACACAAATGCTCTCTACAGTATCCTGTTGTTGCTGTTCCCATCATTTCTCCTTTTTATATAAATAAAAATGTGTTAGACTAATTAAACTTTTTTTTAACAAGCTTCAGGGCATGTGTTCCTATAGATGGATGTTCAATCATACTGGGCAATATATGACAACAATTCCATTGCCCAAGTCTTTTAATTTCAGAATTGAGATGTTCTCATCATTTTAGATACTACAGGGATTTCTGTGCTGTGTGGCTGCAATGTTTGCTGAAACCCAACAACTAATCCATAACCAGACAAGTTCCAGTCAATTAATACTCAATGATTGGTCAGGAAATGAGTAGATTGCCCTGCCTGCTCACCTACCTCAGTTTCCCTTTCAGCCCATGAAAACTAAATGAAGTAACCTGGAAATGTCTTACTTGCCACCAGGCTGGTATTCTTCTTGGTAGAGCAAACCTGTATTTTGGACCCTTTACCTAGTAAACCTGCTGTCCTGTGATTAGACCAGGACTGCAACATGCAAACTTCTAGAGCAAAATACAGCCTATGCAATTACACAACTTATTGTTGCAGGCAGAAGTGCCTAGCTCAGAAAAAAAAATCTTTGAAACAACAGAAATAAGAGGATGTGGCGAAGCAAAATGGCAAAAATACATCAATGGCACTGGATGATTTCTAGGAAGTTCCAGATCTAGTAATGCTCTAAGACAGAGTTCTGGTCAGAAGTGTTTTTTCCCTCACAAATCCATTTCAAAGTGATATGTAATGCTGAACCATTAATAGAATAGCAGGCTAGCTAACGGTGTGCAAAGTTCAATTGTTGGAAATCCCAGGGTTCCTTCCGGAAAAGTTAGTTCAAATTGAATACAGCAGATGACAATGGCACTAGTGATGATGATATATCTATACTTGCTTGTTAATATATAAAATAGTACTTTAATATGTAGTTTTTGATTGACAGAAAAATATAATGAATGATCAGGATGTCTGCATGAGAAGGAATCCTCTCACTATTTTTCTCCAAAATAGGTATCTCATCCTTTCCCATCTTAAATCTCACCAATCATATCAAAGAATCTGAATAGAAAGTTATATCCTGCCAGAATGCACCTCTCCCCGCTCTTTTTTTTTTTTTTTTTTACAAAAATAGGCATCCCCTCCAACCACCACATTTTTCTATTGCAGTAATTATTTATGTTAATCAAAGATCCTGGAGCACCGGGGAACTACCAGAGAACTGGAAAAGAGCTGATGTGGTTCCCATCTTCAAAAAAAGGAAAAAAATGGATCCAGGAAGCTACAGACCTATCAGTCTGACCTCAATACCTGGGAAGATTCTGGAAAAGATAATCAAGCAATGAATCAGCGAACACCTAGAGGGAAACAAAGTCATTACCAAAGGCCAACATGGGTTTGTCAAAAACAGATCATGCCAGACAAATCTTATTGCATTCTATGACCAGGTGACAAAATTAGTGGACCAGAGGAATGTTGTGGATATAATTTACTTGGACTTCAGTAAGGCATTTGATAAAGTAGACCACAACCTACTACTTGATAAAATAGAAAAATGTGGATTAGACAGCATCACCACCAGATGGATTCATAGCTAGCTGACTGACTGTACTCAGTGTGTGGCCCTCAATGGAACTGCATCTACATGGATGGAAGTGTGTAGTGGGATGCCCCAGTGCTCTGTTCTGGGCCCACTGCTCTTCAACATCTTCATCAATGATCTGGACAAGGGGATAGATGGAAAACTCATCAAATTTGCAGACGATATCAAGCTGGCAGGAATAGCCAACACTCCAGAAGATAGGCTTAAGATACAGAAGGATCTTGACAGACTTGAACATTGGGTGCTATCTAACAAAATGAAATTCAATGGTGAAAAAAGTAAGGCTCTACATTTAGGCAAGAAAAACCAAATGCACAAGTATAATACAGGTCAGTGATGGCAAACCTTTTAGAGACTGAATGCCCAAACTGCAACCCAAAACCCACTTATGTATCATCGGGTGCCGGGTGGGCGTGGTCCATTGGGTGGGTGCGGCCCATTGGGTGGGTGTGGCCCATTGGGTGGGCGTGGCTGTGATGGTAACGGCAGACTGGGTGGGTCTAAAAAGTTCAATCAATCAATTCCAACTTTGCAAGATCTTTTTTTTCCTGCGAGAAGTTGAAATTAATTGACTGATTGAACCTTCTTTTTTTTTTGCACACGGCAGCGGAGGCCTAAAGCAAACAGGTTTTATAAAACCCAGCTGAAGGCCTAGGACTGGGGCGACGGCACACGTGTCCACAGAGAGGGCTCTGCATGCCACCTGTGGCATGCGTGCCATAGGTTCGCCACCACGGATATAGGTAGTACCTTGCTCAGTAGTAATAACTGTGAGGGGGATCTTGGAGTCCTAGTGGACAATCACTTAAATATGAGCCAGCAGTGTGCTGCAGTTGCCAAAAAAGCCAACACAGTTCTAGGCTGCATTAACAGAGGGATAGAATCAAGATCACGTGAAGTGTTAATACTGCTTTACAATGCCTTGGTAAAACCACACTTGGAATACTGCATCCAATTTTGGTCACCACGATGTAAAAAAGATGTTGAGACTCTAGAAAGAGTACAGAGAAGAGCAACAAAGATGATTAGGGAACTGGAGGATAAAACGTATAAAGAACAGTTGCTGGAATTGGGTATGTCTAGTTTAATGAAGAGAAGGGCTAGGGGTGACATGATAGCAGTGTTCCAAATCTCAGGGGTTGCCACAAAGAAGAGGGAGTCAAGGTATTCGCCAAAGCACCTGAAGGCAGGACAAGAAGCAATGGATGGAAACTAATCAGAGAGAGAAGCAACCTAGAACTAAGGAGGTTTCCTGCCTGAGCAGGGGGTTGGACTAGAAGACCTCCAAGGCCCCTTCCAACATAAATTATATAACATCAATAACTGTAAAACATACACCATCACAATATCCATTAGAAATTTGTAACAATGTTATTGACAATATATAGTATATCCAAAGTAATAAGTAAGATTTCACTGGGACTAAAGCAATGTTTATTGTTATGGGAACAAATTTCCCCTAGGTCCAAATAAAGAAATGGACCACCAGTAGTATGCGTGTCTACTGTTGACACAATCTAGAACCAATGTTTTTAAAGCCTTTTTCTCACAGAATCCCTTAAAAATTACAGAGGACCTCAAAACAGCTTTTTTTGTTATCAATGTTTATCATATTAAAATTTAAATAACATATTGTTTGCCACTATTGCTTCTCACAATTATTTCATAGAATTTTAATATATTTTTTTCAGCATAGGCTGTCAAATAATTTTGATTTTGCTGATTCATGTGAAGGTCTTGGGTAACCCCCCAAGGGGCCTTCAGGCACACTTTGAAAAACATTGATCTAAAAGACAGAATTATCAGAGGGAAAAATTTGTAAACGTGTTCCCTTTGCTTAAGTTAATCAACAACAGATAAAACTGGGAAATTGGAGAAATATGCACATAAAGAAGAGCTTTTTATATTTAAAAAATCAATAATATTTATTGTTATCTGAACTGTTGCCTAAGCAGTTTTATCTAAAATGTTAAGCTGAGTTATAAAAAAGGAAAGACAGAAGGGAGAAGATAAAAATACAATGTGTCAGACTGGCAAATTTATGTACAGAATAATATAGTCTCCAAAATCAGTAAACAAAATGAATCCACCTCAAACCATATTCAGGATTAGATTGATTTTTACCAACACAATTACAAGAATAAGAGATTTATCAGTAAAATGGCTGGCAAGGAATAGATGAAGCATGGTGAGCAGTCATTGACAGCACACTCACTTGTATCTCAGGAGACATTATGTGGAATGAGAAAGAAAAAGATTAATTTTGAAAGGAGTTAATATTATGTTATACTTTCTAAGGAAAAAATAGATCTTTAATGTTTTGTTAAATAAATTTATTCAATAGAAATAGTTTTCATTTCATTAAAAAGCTTTTTTAATCAGCTTTTATTAAATAAATCTCATTATTATTGTTACTAATGCATTTTGTCTCAGAGTCAGGAGAGTTGCATTTCTTTCTTTCTATATTCTTTCTCTAATTCCATTTCCTTTTTTATGCTGATCTATTCCTCAACGATAATGATGTAGGCTGCCTAAATTCTAAAACAGTCAGCATCTGAAAACAACTTGTACAGCACCTATAATATTAGCCACACAACCAACAGAAGATGGATTATTGTA